GGCAAAGATTAAGTGCCATTATGTTTCTATGTAGAGTTTATTCATATATATATATATAGCCCAGAAGTGAAAGCTTAATCTTCTATAATATAAAGGTTTGCTAGCTAAAGAAAACTTCGGCTCATTATTTTCCTCCAGAAGCACTCAGTTAAGAATTTTGTGGAATTTCAACAAAATATGCAAAACATAGCAACGAAAGATTTAAAGAAAAAGAAATACGGGGGAAATCGATGCAGGTTTAGAATTAGTAGAGAAAAATCAACTGAAAAATGATGACAGAGGAAAGTTAAAATCCCATGAAAGAAGGCACTGCCTGTTATTAATAGGCCTGATATTGCTAGTTAACAATTAATAAATGACTTCATAAACTTTTGTTATTGCCTAAATAATTATTCAATATTATCAAAAGACCCAAAAAACAAGAGAGGATTGTTACAGTGGTTTTTACGTGCTCAAAAATTCAAAAAATTACAGAGAAAGCAAATGTGGCTGCCTCCTTTTTTGAATTCATCACAAAAAGATTAAATCCGAAACGATACACATTCCACTGATCAATTCCCATTTTATACATTAACAATTCCACCAACATTTCGATGAGAATATAATTGCCCTGATATTTTTAATGGCACGGCAAAACATAGCTATCTATAATTTCCATCAACCTTGCAATCTCTGATTGACGAAATAGGAATCATCGTCACTGGAACGTACATATAAGTCAGCATTATAAAGCTAAGATAAAATCATTGTGTCAAGGGACCAAGCTGCTGTTTCTCCAATCTAAGGACCAATCTAGGCACCAATCATTGATACATCTCTAGATTATTTTCTAATTTACAGCATTAAGTGCTATTTGAAGAGATGGTCAAATCCACAATTTATATTTTGAATTTCACTTGGAATATTTTTCAAGAGTATATAAAATGAAGGCTTTCAAAATCTTGATAGAATATACGTCGCATAGATTATTAAAGAAATGTTGAATGTTCTGGAAGTACTCTTCTAGGACATTTGAAATCGAAAGATTAAATGATTGTAGCAATGAACCAGAGAGACGCTAAGCGTGGGAACGATTCTCCTGAAATTTCTCCCAAAACAGTTGGAATACATTACAAAGTAGTTAATTACATCCAGTAAACCAGTAAATCGAATGATTAGAAGAATTGTAGGACAAATGGTTTCAATCTATACTCAAACCTTCAACAAGTATGACGCCTTGCTTGCCTAATCAATCAAATAAAGTGGGCTATTTTGATAAACAGAACCTGCGTTGTACGATGAACGAACATTGAATTACAGTACCAAAATTTGAGCTTATGAGATCAACAAGCCAATAACTAATTATCAACAGTGAGAAAATTTTACATACGAAAATTAGCTAAAATTACTACAATATTTACAAACAAATGTCAGACGTCGATGTATGTGAAAAGAATGAGCATTTGATTCAATTCAAATCTTCATTCGGCGCAGAAATATGCGCCCACCGCCTTCCTCATCTCTCCCCCACAAAAATCGGGAGGTAGAGAGAGTCCTGAAAGTACCAGGATGAACGGCTCGGCCATTATTTGGTTGATATTTTGTTTTGCGGCGATAGTGTCTTGGCTTGCTAGGTGGGTTGACATGAGCAGTGAAATTTTACGTCGGATCATTTGTTCCGCAAGCATTTATGCTCGATATTTGATAGTCGTTATCAATCGTGATGGTGATCATAATTCTCGTCAAAATTCTCATGAGTAGCTTTTGCCGATGAATTTACAAACGTTATTACAAATTTTAAATTAAGCCATTTAAAAAGATCATGCGGCCAAAAGAATATGGAAATTATACATGTATGCGGAATTCCGTCATATAATAATCATTTCTCATAGGCATGGGGAAAACATCTAAAGATAAACGGGATATATATTACCGGTTGGCGAAGGAAGAAGGATGGCGAGCTCGAAGTGCATTTAAATTAATGCAGATCGACGATGAATTTAATATATTTGAAGGTATGAATTTTGATGATGGAAACGTTCAGAAAAAAGTGGACAAGATTTGTTCGAAAGAAGCTCTGCCAGATATTAACATTTCGTAATATTCAAAACATAGCTTCGTGTGCATTAATAACGTCAAATTTTACCTGGAATTCATTTCATTCATCACAAAGTTGTGTAGAGGGAAGTTGGTGAGTTTGGAATTGGTTGCGTATTGCCGTAATAAAGGGACACGGTTTAAGCTCGATGTGATTAATTATTCTCCGCCATACTACCAGAGTCATACAGCCGTGGTTTTACAAAATAGACTAGATGTCAAATTAAATTTAATAATTTGAAAACTGGCGGACTTATGTTTGGCTTATTTTTATGACCAGATTTTGAATTCTTGAGAAGAACATAAAAGAAGTAAAATTTATTATGTACCATGAATTTTCCTAAATAAACAAGGCTAGCCAATGAATTCAAAGCCTTAGGTCTTGCTTAATGTTTCCTCTATTATTATACAAAAGTGGCTGTTTTCGTACAAGCTTTCTAGGTGTTCGTCGAGTTGTTGATCTATGTGCTGCACCTGGTAGTTGGAGTCAGGTTTTATCAAAAAAAGTGTACTTTGCCGTGGATGAAGGAAAACGGAAGGATGTGAGTTCTACAATCCTACCAATGTTTTTTTCAAACATTCTATTAAACATAAATTTTAATTCACCAATCAGATATGCTTTCTTTTTGAAGACCTTTTTATTCCGTACTTTTGTATAAACTGCAGATACGTATAGTCGCTGTCGATTTGCAACCGATGTCACCATTGCCTGGTGTAATTCAACTGCAAGGCGATATAACAGAGGTCGCTTTTCTTTTTTGCACTGCTTTTCTTTTTTATTGGATTTTTGGTTTTCTTCCTTATTTTCCTGAAAACTATACTTGTAAATTAATGTTTATAAGCTTACAGACTTCTACGGCGGAGAAAATTATCTCTTACTTTGAAGGATTGAAAGCTGATTTGGTTGTTTGCGATGGTGCTCCGGATGGTAACATTTAATATTTGGTTTCTTATTCACTTGAAATTCTATTAATTTCTTTTTCAATACGCTAGTTCTTCGATTGTTTCAGTAACCGGGCTGCACGCGTTAGACGAATACATGCAAAGTCAACTTGTCTTAGCAGTAAGTATCAGTCCGTCAAATTTGATATTATTACTACTGTATAGTTATCACATATAGCTTTTCTCGGAAATTTTTTCAAAATCTAATATGTTTATCGGCTTTTAAACTAAAAAAGTGATTAATTTGAAATCATTATTTTAGGCATTGAATATTGCAACATTTGTGTTAAAAGAAACGGGAACCTTTGTGGCTAAGGTTTGTGCACTTACTTAAAATACTTACAACTATTCTGAGATATTTTGTGTCCAAGCCAGTATTGTTTTTAAATCTAAAAGTGAAAGTTTCCAGATGTTAGACGTAAAAATTTGAATTTAGGTATTTCGTGCACGTGATATTACACTGTTATATGCTCAGTTGAAAATTTTCTTCGAAGAGGTCTACTGTGCGAAGCCACGTAGTAGCCGACAAAGTAGTTGTGGTGAGGAAAATTAATCTTGCTTTCATTGTTTTACCTTTCTAATGGTAAAATTCATTTCATGAGGATGCATTGCAAATCTAAATGAAATTTTGTTTATAATTTCAGAAGCATTTGTTGTTTGTAAAGGATTCAGCTTGCCGAAGGGGTATACACCAACGATGAAAAATCCAATGTTGTGTCCAGATTATGGTAAGTAGGAGTACTCTTCGGATTTTCCCGGTTGTTGGTGGTTTTTTAAAGTTTCTTTATTTTGTCCTACTTGTAATTAAAATAACCTGTAATTCTAACAATGATTTCAGATGCGGAAGTAAACAGTCTTTCGGGTCCCAACCGTCTTCTGGTGCCTTTTCTTGCCTGCGGTGATTTGTCCGGTTGGGATTCAGATCGGACGTATGAGCTGGAATTACCGAATTTTTCGGGTGAAGCAGAGCGAGAAAGGTACCAATATAGGTCAGTTGTGCAGCCTCCTACAGAACCTGCTTATAAAGTAAGATTTCATTGAAATTTTTATATAACTTTGAAAATTTTTATATAACCTATCACGGGAAATTTTTCTAATTTCAGAAAGCATGCGTTCTGAAAAGATCTGGCAAGCTTGCTAGGCCTGAAATGGAAGATCCGTTCTTGAAACTTGATTTTCCGGCTCGGAAAGCAGCAGTGGACGAAAAAAAATCGGATGCTGCTGGAAATTTAGGAATTGGCGACGAGCTAGCTGAGGCATTTGCGGAATGCTTTGTATTTAATGATCAATGACAGAAATTCGAATAAGATATGATTGTACTTGGAATAAGCTGTTAATATTCCATAAAATGGTCATTTTTATTCATTTAAAATATTCGGCTGCTTCAGCCCACTCTGTCTACTTCTAATAGTGCTAAGTGAAGTTTCTAATTCACATTCGGAAGTATCCCTTACTCTTAAAGCTGGTAAATTTTTAACTTATTCGAATTTGTGTCACATTGTACATAAAATTGCATCTACAAAATTCTGGATTTCGAAAATATTCCCATTAAAGCTAATGCTTCTTTAGTGGTCATTGTTGTTTTTTTCGTAAGTGGAACACTTCTACTTAATTTTATTATATTGATATTTTAATAAATCATTTCTCTAAAAATTTTCGGCGCATTTTACAAATGCTTAATCATCAACTTTCATATGTTCCGAAGAAAAATTAATTGTTGAAGTTACCATCACTTAGAAACATCGGACTATTGTTTTCGGGATATCCTTTCTTATCTTTTCTTAGCAGTAAATAAGAAAGGAGGTGAGCAAGAAAAACAGCAAGAGAAGACGATATTCGTTACTGAATGATAGATACTTATCTATTATGAATTATATTAAGAAATTGTGACATTGCAAGAGAGTTGGTTATTGAGGACTTATTGCAGATCTCTGCAATGCATTATTCTGGCATGATTTTAATGTGATAACTTTCTAGTACAAATGAGGCTGTGGAATAATTTATTTTGCATTCCTCGAGAAGCTACAGTGAAATATCGACCAGTTATTGGTTTAGAAATACATGCTCAGATAATGACCAGGTTTTCCAGTGATTTTTTTGTTGCTTTTGATAAGGTGCTGATGTTTAATATAGCATTATATCTTTTTATTAAATTATGAATTTTTCGAAAGTACACATTCTTGCAATTTGGCTGTTACTTTATTTATTACCGTCAAAGATCAAGGTCACCTCATATAATAGAATATATGATAGCTGCTTTTTATACTTTAACTTTTAATCTTTGAATTCCAAGTGTGGTTGGTTGCGGAAGATGAAGTTTAAAAGCAGATGATTAAATACGATGAAAGTTTAGATAAGACAAATGCAGTTAATTAATGAGGGGGGATAGGTCAGAAGCAGAACTGCTAAAAAGCAAAAGATTATGATATATCTATTTGGTAGTTTTTATTATTGCCTTGAATACAAATTAAAAAAGTGTGTCATCGCTTGCCTATTCTACCTGGTGGAATAACTGATATTTAGATCTTTTGATGTTAAAAATTGCCATTGTAGTTTACATAATTATATAATTTTCAGGACTAAATTATTCTCAGCGGCAACATTTGATGATGATGCTCATGCGAATTCATCTGTTGCATTGTTCGATATGGCAATGCCTGGTACTCTTCCAGTCCTTAATAAAACTGCCTTAATGGTTAATCTTTTACTCGTTGAAGTATTATTTGAAAATTGCTTTTAAGACTCATATATTGATAGTTGTCGTCTAAGCTGCACAAATGGTTTAAAAGATTTAGACAGAGAAATACTGGAATAGAAAATAGAAATATTGAAAATGCGTATATAAGCATATGAAGAGTATATAAGATCAGTGCAAAATCAACTGTTGATGGCTCTAAGAGTTATATAATGAATTATAATTATTTGAAAGATATGTTATATAAAATATTGTACAAGTTTAATATTTCCAAATAAAATTAAGCTGAGTCCTAAAATTGTTTAACACTTACTGTAACAGGATTAGTTTTCTGGAAGGAACATAATCTATGAGTACCGTATTTTTGTTTTTGTCCTTCGTGGATAATATATAAATAAACTAATCAAATAAAATTGAGTTGATTTAGTTAATAAAATGCAAATGCAAACAAATGCACTTCATATGTTTTAGAAAGGTATAACGGCGGGTTTGTTGTTAAATTGTACGATCCCAGAAAGATGTCAGTTTGTACGCAAACATTACTTCTATGCAGATATGCCCGCTGGCTATCAAATCACTCAACAAAACCATCCTATTGCTCATTCTGGTTTCTTTGAATTCTACGTCCACTCTAGTAATGAGGTAAGCATTCTTTTGATTCATTTATTATTTTACATGTAGCAAAAGTGATATTTGTTATAGTCATTTGTGCCATACAAAAAGCGTGTAGATATTATAAGAATCCAACTGGAACATGACAGTGGCCGTTTAATTCATGATCTCGATAACGACCGCTCACTGATCGATCTTAACCGAGCCGGTAATAATATTATTTTTCGTTCTTTGCTTTCCTTTTTTTTGTAACATTGCAAAGCTTAAACAAAAGTTTATTTCCAGAATTTTCAGAAAATTTATTTTCCAGGAGTTGGATTACTAGAAATAGTTACTTCGCCAAGTATGAATTCTGCGTTAGAAGCTTACTGCTTTACTGAACAGCTACGTTTGACTCTCATGGAAAATGGTTTGTGCGGAGGAGAAATGCAAAGTTAATATTTCTATATTAGAAGTTTAGAAGTTTCTCCTTGCTTTCTCTTGCCGATGTGTTAAACAAAAATTTTACAATAAGGAAATGCTGCTTAAAAGGAATAAATCTGTTGAAGAGGCTCAGTTTCGAGTGGATGTCAATGTTTCACTTAGCAAAGATAGCACCGATGATAGAGGTATTCGAACTGAAATCAAAAATTTAAATAGTCTACGTATGGTTCATACAGCTATCAACAATGAGATAGATCGACAATATGAAATCCTAAGAGCTGGAGGCATAGTATTGAATGAAACGCGTACTGTTGATCGTGATGGGTAAGTTGTTTGCACTTTTTTTAACTCCACAGAAAATAGTTTTCGCTTTTTCTACTACAAATCACTTTGAAATTATAAGATTTTTGAAAATTGCTCGTTTCAAAAATTGCTTGGGACAATACATTTCAGCCATACAGTAGCAATGAGAGAAAAGGAAATTGAAACAGATTATCGCTTTATGCCCGAACCGAATCTTCCACCTGTTCATATTAAACAAGAATGGATAGAGAATTGCCGTTCAATGCTTTCGAAACCATGTTACTTGAAGAATATCGAGAAATATGGTCTGAAGCCGGAAGTCGCATTGCAAATTGCTGTGAGTTATCACTCCCCTTTCACATGAAATAGACCCAAAAGTTGTTTTAACTTTGAAAATGGAGATAAAGATCCTGCTTTTTAATTACATATGGATGAAGTTGGAATGTGACACCAAAATGCTTCTAAATATGCATTTTGGTAAAACTTCCGTGTTTACGGTTTTTATCGCATATATAGCAATTTCTATTCAATTCATCTGGTATTAAATTTAAAATTTTCGCATTAGAATAATAGCAAAATACATTTTCAATTTTGGAGCAAAAACTGTTAAAGGTAAAGTTCATTCGAATTTCGATTTTATATGCGATTTTTTTCCTTTAGAATCAAAAAACCTTGGCGGCGTTTGTTGAAATAATTTTAAATGCATCTGATGATGCTACAATTGCACCGGTATTAGTCGAATGGACCTACCTGTTGCAAATAATTTGTCGTAACTGCAACAAAAAATTCCCTACAACGCGGTTTGTTTTTGAATGAATTTTCAAATAAAGTATTATAAGATTTATTCATAGGTTTATATTGGCTTTTTTTAAAACGCCTTATAGATTTTCGTACAGTACATATTCATTTTTTTCTTTTCTTTTTTTTCAGAACACTTTTCGTAAATCATTTTATGGAAATAGTACATCTTTTTCACATTAAACGATTAACCAGGCTGACAACTTTTGATCTATTGCGAAGATACATAGAAGCAGAGTTAGACAAATCGCCAACTGAGGTATTGATTGGTTTCTCGTAAAACTGTCACAAATTTTTTATCGCAGAGCAAATACGCCGGATATGTATTTTAAAAAATTTTTTAAAACATTTCTTATGGAAGAAAGACAAAAAAGTCTTTGTGCTGTAGAATTTAAAGATGTTTATTGTTATTTTCAGATTATCAATGAGGAAAATTTATGGCGAATACACGACAGAGATGAAATCTTGCATATAGTAGAGAAGATTATACGTGAAAATGATAAACTTGTCTTAAAAATACAGAAAAATGGAGCGAAAAGACACGTTACTAAATTGCGTACAGCTGTACTTAATGAATGTAATCGACGAATTGAAGCTGATGAAATAAGTGAAATAATTAAACAAAAGCTTCTGCCAGGAAGCTAAAGATTTGCTTGAGTATTTTATGAAAGCATTTATATGATTTGTTTCAATTATTGATAATTTTTTGTGCTAATTTTTGCTTAATTATTAGCTACAAAAGTAATCTTAGCATGTAAATTATAATATATTGAGTTGTGAGGTATAAAAAATGATTTCAATTCTCTGGATTGAAAATTAACTTCTGATCAATCAATATTATAACAAAATAAAATTATATGTTTAAATTTGTTGCAGAAAATTTAAAAGATTTAATCTATTATTTCTGAATGCTTTAGTTAGTGATCGATGGTATAACTTTAGTTAACAGAATATGAATTACTGCAGATGGTGCACCAATAAATAGTTGATTACTATGTACTGCTAGGAGAGCGCTGTTGGAATAATGTGATACACATATATGGGAGGAGGATGAAAAGTGAGACAACATGGAGATGGGCATGGTTGAAGGACAAGATCGATGTGTTGTCGTCGCTGCGTGCTTTTTTACGAAACATGACAATATTCTTCTCAGTCCATTTCATGAAGTTCCTTCATGTTCTGCTCCTTACTAAATTTAGCCCTATACCACTTCTCCTATAGCTTTAGCTTAAGCTATGTAATTTTACTCCTGCATTGGCTTTGGCCTTAGCTTTGCTACTATACTGCATCACCTAACTACCACCCCACAACAAGCGCATTCGATGCATATTTAGTGCCAGTGATATAAGCTAGCAGCATTTTAGCAAATACAACTATCCCTTTTTGAACCAATCCTACAAGCGAATGCGGTTGTCAATTCTTTTTTTACCAAACAAATGATAAGAGAGAGAAAGAGAGAGGGAAGAAAGTGATGGAAGAAGGATTGCATTGTTCAGGTTTTTTTACTCTTTAAGGTATTACTTTAATAAGCTTTAAAAGAGTATTAATAGAAGAAAAATGGAAAGATGGAAAGGGAGCAAATAAGATTCTTCTCATTAAAATTATTTGAAGTTCAGTAACTTAATTAGAATAGGATGTTATAAATTTGATATATTGATAATTTCTTTACTTTCAACATTTTTTTTTGATAATTTTTCAGTGAATTAGTAATATCTGAATGCTCCTACCATGTCTTCTTTGTGATTTACAAATGGATCAGGAACAAACAGGTGATATTGTAACGTCAGGTTTTCAAACAAATCCTGAACTTCACGAACATCTCGTAGAATGTCATGCGAAATTTGTGGCTCGCGCCTTACTCGCTCCTAATGTCACCAATAAAACCCATTTCTGGCTTCTCACCAATATCATTTATCATAGCGAAGTTCATTTTTCTTTTTCAGTTATTTCAATGATTGATCAAAATTAGCGCTGCTAAAATATCGTCATATCGTCTCTGATCTTTGAGAAGTAGCGATGTTCATTAGGCGATAAACGGGATATATATCCCGGTGATAGACGGGGTATATATCCCGGCGATAGACGCGGTATATAATATACAGAGCAGTAAAAATTAAACTATCTAATTGTAACTTCAAAAAATAACTATTCATTTATTTAATATTGAAATTAAAATTGCAAAGTACTACTGAAGAAAACAAAACATTTGCCATAAAGTTTTGTAACGAAGAAACATTTGCAGAATGTGAACAAAGACTTTCTTCATGATATTTTTGTAGAGGCAATATTGATATTCGCAAAACAATTATCATTAAGTTTCATAAATATCCTCTTCCTTATACAAGAAGATTTATAATATGCCATATTTAATTTCTTTCAGATAATTCAAGATGATAATGATAATGATGATGATAATGGTGATGAGTATTCAGTGAAGTCAAAAAAACGGAAATCTTCAGAATGCGATGATTCTAAAGAAGTTGATTTTCAGCCAGTAGCAAAGCGATCTACAAATCTTGTAAGGATTTGCAAAATTTTTTCAAGCTTATATGATACTTCACGTATCTGCAACTGTTAGATTATTTAGAGAAGCAGAAAACATACCACACTCTCTGATAAAGTATCGCTTCTGTTGTTTTGAGAATAAACTAAAGTGAGAGGAATTTACCGTAGGTGAATGAATATCTTTTCATGTAAGTGAGCACTTAAGAATGAGAAAATAGGATTAGCGCGGTATTATCACTTACTAAACTACTTATTATAATTTAGGCATTTGAAACTGAATCCACTGAAATAATGACATCTGCTAGCAATCAATTGAATCAAAGCCAACAATTGCAAAATTCAAAATCTATTCCAAATGATTCGGAAGCTGTTCGAAAATCAAATTGTCAAATTTGTCATGTGGACGTGTGCACAACAGCACGTCAACGACACGTTTATCAGTTTCATCTTCGAATTTCCAATCTTTTTCAATGTTCCAATTGTAGCTATACAAATAATAATTCAATTTGGGAAATGCGTAAACATTGTAATGCAATTCATCAAGGCAATGCATATCCTATCAGTAATGAGGCAACTTATATGCATGAAATACAGGTTATTCATTTCCAATTTCTATCTTTTATTTTTGTTCCATTTCATTTCCTCAAAAGATTCTACTTGTAATGAGTTGATGATAGACCTATAATTGATAAATGTTGAGGACTGTTAAGGTATGTTAAAGTATGTTATAGGAAAGCTATAATTGATAAATAATTGATAAATGTTGATGACCGTTAAGGTATGCTAATTAATCCTTTCTCCCAGTTAAGTTACTAATGTTTTGTTTCAGATTTGAATTTTTAATTTTATTTTAACTGTTTATACAATTAAAGCAAATGCAATATTTTGATTGTTTCAGAATTGGAATCAGCAATGTTTTCCGGATTGGAAACTGAAGAAATCATCTTTTTTAAGACAAGGAATATCAAGATTAGAGGTTTCGTTATAGCTTTTAATCAAGTGATATTTCAGGGATTTATCTTTCGAAAATTTTTTGATTTTCCTTTTCTTTCCTTTTATGTTTCCGGATGGATTAATCATTTTTTCAGCAAAATAAAATTCCTTCGGAAGATAATGAATTAAAAACGGTTAGCTATGGAAGTGTTCCGACAAATACTTCTTATGATGAAATAAGCAATTGTGATATGAACAATGATAATCAATACGTCATGAGACAATCAATTGTGGCAGATATCGTCGATGATCGAACTTGTCATCTCTGTTGGTAATAGATGTTGGATTTAATTTTTGTGAAATGAATTTAAACTTGAAATATTTGCGAAGTTAATGAAATACAATCTATGATTAAAATTAATTAAAAATTTAAGCGATGAAGGAAATTAAAATTACTTGCAGGGAAGAGTCTCGTTATCCGGGGCGTCATATAGCTCAGAAACATTTGAAGAAATCACTTTATCAATGTCCGATCTGTCAAGATTTTGGAAGTTACGAAAGTTGTACCGTTACTAAACATATCAACAGAATTCATCCGGAACATTGTGATGCTCTTCCAATTTCTAATTTGGATCGATATGCTCAGGAAATTCGCGACTTACAGGTAATTATTTGGTAAAGTGGAAAATTTTCTACTCATATATTTTGCACTGTCAATGCATATTTCATCAGAAAAATTTTTAATCGCTTGAATTGGAAGCATCACTATCGAAACATGAGTTAATCCTCCTATTCCGGTAAGTATATTATTGTTTAATGTATTGATATTGATAGGAGTAAAATATATTGTAGAAGAAATGTTTTCCAAATCGACCAATGAAGCTCGTTCGACCTCATATCGGTAATCGTCCACGAGAGCGTCATATTTGCCAAATTTGTAAAATACAGGTAAAATTTAAATTTAGCCAATAAAGGATATATGTATAGCTGTTGTAATCTCTGAAATATCTCAGGTATGCACAGACTTATTCATTATTTCATATATATATATATATAAGAAATAGTTGAATTTCTGTTTAATTAGCTAATATCTTTTGCATGTAAATGCTCTGCTGTAATGTTTCAGGTAGCACAATCGGATCGTCAAAGACATGTATATCATCGTCATTTGAAGCAACAACGTATTTTCGAGTGTCCACTTTGTTCGTTTGCATCAAATTACGATATACATCGTGTGAAATGGCATATTAAATGGATGCATAAAGATGATCCAAACAGAGAGCCTTATTCTCATGAAAATGACTATAAGTTAGTTAAATTAGCTTTTTAATAAGAAATTAAAAATTTGAATTGTTTCCCAATTCTATGCTCCTCTTTTGATTGCTATATAATTTTTTGAAATTAATAAAATTTCAATCATTATTATCATATTACAAGCAAGTACATAAGCATGTAAGAAAATTGAAATTAATTTTACACTTTTTTAAAATGAATTTTCAGAGAAGAAATTGATCGATTAAACGAGCGATGTTTTCCGGGTTGGCAACATCGGCGTAAGCGATTTTGGTGGTTCAATATTGACGGAAGTGATAAGCAAGATGTTGGGATTTTCTTTTATTTTTACAAATTTTAAACATTTCTCTTCCTTTTTTTTTTCCTATTATAAAGTATACCTTTAATTGGAAATAACATACCTGAATATTATTGATTTTGTAATTTCAAACTTTCTTTTACATATATGTATATATGTAAAAGTGTATAATTGTAATTTACAGGTGAAGAAAAATGTACCAATAGATGTTGTTGAAGAAAGAAAAGAATCAACAGAAGTAATCATTAGTAAATCATCTGTAATTAAGGAAGAATCTGATGAGAAATTAACTGAATGGACATGCATGGTTAGCTTTGCAAAATTTTTTGCTAAATAAATATTTAACTTTATAATTTTATCTTCCATTCTTTTTTCTTATTATTTTTTCGTTCTAAATTTGAAGTTTTCTGATACTGAAAATCTTATAGTTTATATTTCAATTTGTTTTATCATAAATGATAATGAAAAAGGAAATGAAATGAAGAAAAGAAGAAATAGAACGATCGGAATATTTTCATTACTACTCTTTCTTAACTTAAATAAAAATTATATATAAAGTACAGTGAGTTATAAAGTGAGTTATATATATAAAGTATATTGAGTTAAATTTGAATTAAATCCGAAATTCAGTATTTGAACTATTCCGTATGTTTTATATGGGAGAAAAAAATATCGCACAATTTGAAATGTTGAAATGATTGCAGCTTTGCAAAAAAGAATTCAAACCTTCATCGAATTTTTTGCGTCATGTAGCGAAAGATCATCTTAAAATTTCCCTCTATCAGTGTCCAATATGCAAAGGTCATGGAGGACAAGATGCCTATGAAATACGATCACATATGCAAAAATTACACGATGAATATATGCAAGAACCGATATCAAATATCGAAAAGTATGCAGAAGAAATACAAAAAATGTATCAGCAATGTTTTCCCGGACGAAAGCTTCGAGTAAACTTTAAATAACCATATTCGATTGATTAGAATTGTTAATGGATCGTTAATAATTATCATATAATTAAAGTAATTTAAAATCTCTTGAAATTCCCACTCAATTTTATCTCGCAGAATTTGTGGTCAGAGAAGAAAGCAAGCCAAAATGGCAAGACTTTCGAAGGACTTAAAGTTCAATGTCGTGAATGTGGCCAAGAAATGAAAACTGAAGATCGACAGGTATTAAAGCTTCAAAAAGAATTATTTCATAATTAGATATTATTAATTGAATTTCATTTTTTTAAAATGATTTTTGATATCAAAATATCTTTTTCATAAAATCAATCTTCACTTCTTAATAACCCATACCAATTGAAAAATTCAATGATTGCTTATTTAACTTTCAGATTCATGTATACAGACATCATCTGAAGGAACCACGTCTTTATCAATGTCCACTTTGCGAATTCTCTCATCATGCTTGTTCATCAGACGTTAAAGCGCATATTAAGTTTGTCACATTAAAATTTATGCAAATTTTTAAAATGTACGAAAGATTTGATCTTTGTTAAAATTTTTACTGTAGTTCGTTCTTGACTTAAATTTTTTAAAATTCAAAAATTTTATTCAAATTTAAGATATGCGCATCGCAACAATGCTGATTTAGCACCAACAGCAAATTTGATGAAATTTTCGAAAGAAATAGCAATATGGAATTTACGTTGTTTTCCCGGTTGGATTAATCGTCGTTTACCTGCTTCTGCACTAGAAGATTTTAATAGGTCATTGTTGCTTTTTTGTTTTTGTCTTTCTTTAATTTTCAAAGAGTAAGACAAAGAGTAAAACATATTTGTAAATCTCAAATTTATTTGAAGACTTTTAAAAACTTTAATTTTACATTAATTTACTGCAAAGAAAGAAATCTTTCATTTTAATAGATGCCGAGTTTGTGATGTGGAAGTACGACAAACTTCACGTCATATTGCTGAAGTTCATTTGAAAATGTCACTTCATCAATGTCCACTTTGTGATTATGGTGCTTCTGAGAGTCGTCTTGTTCGAAGACATATGAAAAATGGACATAGAAGAAAGGAAGTTAAAGTAAGTTATAGTAATTCTAGTTTTATTTAGGAATTTAATATTTTGTGGAAAAATATGAATTCTTGTTTGCTAGAATTTCATAGAATCTCATTTTTAGAATCTCGTATATTTAGTACTATAAATTTTTTGAAGATTTATTAGCAAATTATATCTTGCTAATTTATTATAAATAAATTTAAATTTACATTTGAGATTGATTTTACGAATTTCAAGAAAAATATTTAAAGGGTCTTGAACCGATAGCTAATGTGGTTAAGCATCGAGCAGCTTTTTCGGAAATGCATGATCGTTGCTTTCCGGGACGACCAAAACGTTTATCAAATATTACAATTTCTGATGAAGGACGAAGGACAAAATGTCGTCAATGTGGCGCTACAATTAGTAAGAAGCGGCGATTAACTCATTTATTAGAGAAACATCTTAAAAAAGCCATTTTCAGGTAATATTTTTGGACTGTATTATGAAAACTATGAAAACCTAAAATGAGTCAAATTACATTTTTAAATTTAATTAAAATTAAATTGTATTTTTTATTACTGAAATTCATAATTAAATCAAATTGAAATGTTCAAAATATATTTGAAAACGTTGGAAATTTGTCGTGAACGAATTACTTTCTTCAATTTTCTTAACCCATAAACTAAAAAAGTGAAAAATTAAAAAACTAAAACAATAATTATTTTATTTTATCATTTATTTTCTCTTGCCAAATTAAAAGAAATGATTAAATGATTGAAATGATACTAAGATAATCTATGATTGAATGCATTCCACTTAATACGATTATCTGAGTAAAGTTCATTTCCAATTAATTTCTTCCTTTTTTTTTAAATTTAATTCTCCTCCTCTTAATCATTTTATTTTTTCATTCACCCGATCTGCCTGTTATTTTAAGATGTTCGCAATGTTCATTTGAATCATTTCACGATGAGAATGTTGTAACAACTCATATTCAAGAAGAACATAGCGCACAAGGAGGTGTTGTAATTAATGATCTACTCAAATACAAAACAGAAGCAGAAATGTTGGCAAGAAGTTGCTTTCTACATTGGCAATTACTCATTTAATATTTGAACTCATTTGAACTCTTATGCATTAATTAAGAAAGGATGAGATGATATCTCTTTTTTTTTTTTAGAAATAAATTAGCTGTAAAAAATTTTTTACTCATTTGACCTTTATCTTTGAACTCCAATGTACATTAATAAGAGGAGGATTAAGTTTGAAGGGTTTTAAATTTCGGTGATATATTCTTGAAAAAAAGGTATTGCATAAATAAATGCATTTTAATCTAATCAAGCGCTTGATTAAGGGTTATTCTCCGCTCATTCCTCTCACATATCAAATGCACAACTTTTAAAATCTAATATGCAAATTTACTTTTCCATTTTAAACATTTCAAATATATCTCACTTAAAATTTATATCTTTTTTTTGCTTCAATAGTTTCATTTTAATATAATCATTCCAAATATTCAAAATTTAGTGTAATTTTGTCTATTTCATTCAGTGTGATACTATCATGAATGTGTGATACTATCATGAATTTATAATATGCATCAACTAGGAGAAGACTGATATTTATTTCAATTTAAACTTCGACCGATCGATCATTGTATCTTAATATTATGCTTATAATTTTCTTGCTTAGTTGTCAATAAAAATGAAATATTCGGCTTTTCTTCTGCATAAGTTACCACATTGAAAATATACAGTAATTCATATTAGATGAGATTTTGTTTTCATCGACGAGTAATTTCTAATTTTAATTTACTGTTAAGAAAAAATTTTTTGTTACATAGAAGATTATATTTGTTTTTTACTTTTCCTAAAAATGAACCTGGTTTAATGATGAAAGTTATTCTTTTGCATTTCACCGTTAAACTTCCCAAACTTAGTGATGATGTATGGGTAATAAGAAGTAACTTTCTTGTA